TTTGCTGTGCTCAGGATCTCACAAACACCAACACAGACAGACACTAGTGGATCATAAGTAATTATAGATTTTTGTATCTTTTTTGATTCTACAGTTTGTTTGCTTGTTTATTTATTTATTTTTTTAAATCACATAGTGCACATTTAAAACACTGTAGACAATGAGAATGCAGCAAGGTACATTTGTTTTTATCTGTTAAATATATGACAGTTAAACTAATCCAAATTTGTGACAAATAAATGACGTGGCGCCTTTCATTTACATTTAATATTATTATCTTAAAAGCCTTTCATAATAAACTATATTCTAATTGGGAAAACTATTTATAGATGTCATCATTTATGGCATAGATGGGCAAGAAAGCACACTTTGAAAATTATATAAAACAATTTGTCTGACAACAAATATGCTAATAGATTAAACAGCCAATCTTACCTTTTAATATTCATATTCAATTTAGCTCAACCAAAATATCTTTATCCTTGATGACTATTTGACTGTCTAGGCCTTGAGGTGAACTCTACTAAAAGTCTAATTTAAAAAAGCCACAGAAGTCTTGATTTCATGTGCTCTTCAAGTATCTCGTCTACCACCACAATGGGCTAGTTCAATCCCCAAAAATGTCCAAACCAGCTTTATTTTCCTCAATACCTTTCAGCAAGGTTAGTCCGGTTGCTCAATGTCCTTGTCGTTGGTGTACTTTTCAATCACAACCGCATTAAACACCCGCACTCACACACATCATTACCTCCGTCATAAATTATATGATAACATGTAAAGGATTGTAATGTACTGAATAACATATTATAACAGATTATCTTCTCGATCTTAATGAAGATATGTTGGTCATCAGTTCTAATTAGATGTGACATACTAAAGTAATTTTAATTAAATACTCAGATATCACTCTCTCATATCTCTCTCTTGCGGGGAACAGACATGATCCACGGACAAAGATTAAATTCTCTGACACGAAATTGGATTTTCAATAAAGAGCTGCCATTTATAATTTAATTCTGAATTAAATTTAGGCTATGTAGTTTAGACTTCATGCTATCATGTTGCTATTCCTGTAGTGTATCATATGATTAGTATGATATATAAATGCATTTGCCTAACTCTGGAGTATACAGAATAGTGTATCAATGTAATGTGCTTGATTTAACCTTCGATTTCCCGAGTGATGAATCAAAATAAATATCCACAGGTATTATCATGCAATTTTTTATATATATACTGCCAATATTTAAGATATTTTTACAAGTTGTTTTAAGTGCATTATATGTATAGGCAAGTTTTTTTTATGTATATAGAAAATATTGTGTTTTCACTGCTCCATGCCAATATTGTGTGATGTTTTAAATTATTTTTCTGTGCCCATTAATTCAACGAGTGACACTGTAAGCAAATTAAATTGCGTTCTTTGAATTTGTTGAATTAATATTGCTTGTGTTTAAGAACTAAAGTGTGTTCCTGTCAAGGTCTGGATTGATGACAGGAGCGAGGACTCAAATGCAGGAACAACACAATGGATATTTTAATAAGAGGTAAAAAGAAAACAAAACTACAAACAAAAACTCCCCGTGGGGGAAAACAAGACAGGCATCTGGCAGGAACAGGAAACACTAGGGAACATAGACTCTAGACAACGAACCAGCACAGGACTGCAAACACAGGGAGATTAGGGCTGCGTTCCAGCCCACTTTTAGACACACGCAAACTTCCCTAAGCACTTTCCCTCGGGGGAATCCCTGCCACCATTTTGAAGTCCGCCAGTAGTAGGCACTCGTGCAACAAAAGCAATGACGTACATCCGAGTGAACGAGACAGAGGGGAGTTAGCGAGTGAAGGGCATGACAATTTTGGACTGGAACGCAGCCTAAATAGGGAAGCAAACAAAAGAGAGTAACGAGGGAAGGCAGGTGGGGAAAATTAATCAATGATAAGGTAACAAGATGGGAGGGGCTAGACAATCGACAGGAGAGCACATGGCACAAGGAAACACATGACAAGCCATGTGCTCAACAAACAGGACTAGAACAAACCGGGAGTGTCAGAGCTCTGTCACCAAACCAAGATATAAACCAGACAGAAGTGACAGAACTCTGACATTACCCCCTCTGAAAAGGAACGCCACCTGGCGTCCCTAACGAGAGACAAAAAACAAAACAGGAACATAACCGTACAAGACCAAAACACAACAACAGACAAGACAGGCAGATCAAAAAACAGAGACGACGAGGGGAGTGAGGGAGGGGAGCCAAGAAAGAGCCAGCATTATAGTCCATGCAGTTCTTAGCAGAGACCAGGGTGGGACGGGAGGGTTGCGCCAGGGAAGCTCAGGCAGGTCTGGATTCCAGGCTGAGGGCCAGGGTGGAACCGGAGGGACGGACCAGGCGGGCTCCGGCGGATCAAGAATCCTGGCTGAGGACCAGGGCGGTGCCGGAGGGAGAGACCAGGGAGACTCTGGCGGGTCTGGAGTCCTGGCTGTGCAGGCAGCCAGGGCGGATTCGAAGGTTTACGGGGCCAGAGCAGATCCGACACCTCAGAGGCAGAGGCGGTCATCTTGTCCGATGACTCTGGCTCGGCAGGCATGACGTGAACAGTCTCTGGCTCGGCAGGCATGACGTGAACAGTCTCTGGCTCGGCAGGCATGACGTGAACAGTCTCTGGCTCGGCAGGCATGACGTGAACAGATTAGCATGGGCGGGGCCGGCAGGGCAAGGAGCTTGGGTGGCGCCGGCAGGGCTAGGAGCTTGGGCTTGGCCTCCAGGCCTTGTGGGACGGAGGATGCCTTCCTCCTCCGCTTACTAGAGGGCGGTGATACTACAGCCTCTTCGGCCACCACTGGGGGCAGGGAGAGTGGACAGCTCTGGGACAACCGGGCCTGGGACAGCCGAATTCGGGTCCTCCCGAACAGCCAGACCTGAGACCTCAGAAATCAGGTCCTTCTGGACCACCAGGCTTGGAACCGCCGAAGTCAGGTCCTCCTGGACCACCAAACTTGGGACCACCGAAGTCAGGTCCTCCTGGACCACCGGGCTTGGGACCGCCGAAGTCGGGTCCTGCTGGACTACTGGTCACCGGCCGAAGTGAAGCAACAGGAGCCCTCCTCTTCCTGCGCTGGCGAGGCGGTTTGGGAATAACTGCCTCTGGAGGCGCTGCAGCTGCTTCAGCCACCACTGGATAGGAGGCTGATGGGTCGAACCTTTTTTTCCTCCCTCTCCCCGAAGGGGTCATCGGAGGACCGGGGACTTGGCAGTTTGTGAGGTAAATGGGAGGTGGGCAAAGAGGCGGAAGGCCACCCTCTCATCCACAATGGTAAATATACCCCACAAACTGCCAGAATGATAGTATCCCCAGCATTCCCATCTCCCAGGCAGGCACAGGCTCTGGGCACTGGTGTTGGTGTTGAATCTGTCCTTTAGCACTGCGTCCCTGATGTTGAGTCCCTCCGCTAAATACAGGAACTGGTAAGCAAGCTCCTTCACACTGTTCTCCCCTTGCCGAAGAGAAAGGAGCTTGCTACGTTTTTCCACCATCTGATGAGCGGAGGGGCAGGGAGATGGAAAAAGGAAGATACCTTTTGCTTGCTGAGTCCTCAGTTGGCTGGTTCGTTCTGTCACGGTCTGGGTTGATGAAAGGAGCGAGGACTCAAATGCAGGAACAATGGATATTTTAATAAGAGGTAAAAAGAAAACAAAACTACAAACAAAAACTCCCCGTGGGGGTAAACAAGACAGGCATCTGGCAGGAACAGGGAAAATTTTTTTCCCTGACTAAGACAAGACGATGAGAGACGACACCCACGTCATTAAAAGATAACTGTGACCAGAGGTGGAAAGAGTAATAAAATATTCTACTCAAGTAAAAGTACTACTACTTCAATTAAATTTTACTTAAGTACAAGTAAAAGTACCGGTCTAAAAATCTACTCAAGTAAAAGTAAAAAGTAGCTCATTTAAAATTTACTCAGAGTAAATGTTACTGAGTAACTTTTTTAACAGCGGGGGTGGGGGACTCTCCTGTGTAAGGTTGTAATGGTATGAGATTTTCACAGTATGATAACGGCCCTGTCCCATTTCTCCCCCCTTAAAACTTCCACTTGGTTTTGAGTGCCCTCGAAAGTAAAGTCCCCTCAACGAGGGAAGTGGAGTTGAAGATCTTTCCCTATGAAATGGGACACCACTATATGCAAATTAGCGCGGCAATCCTCACTACGTCACGCGCAGCAAACCTCACTACGTCACGCGCAGCGTCGACGTGTCTACTACTACTACTATTTTCATTCAGAAAATGCCGGTTCCAGCTGTTGTGTTGCCTGTTGTGTGGGCTGTGTTCGTTTATCTACGTCTGATGAATCAACAGAGAAGACATGTGGAATATAGAAGACGCATTCGCCGTCTTCTTTGCCTTGAGGATTTATTTCAGGTATGTCCGATTTGTTTAAATATTTTGACGTTATATGTTTACGTTACCTCAGCTGTTGATGATTTAACGCTAGACCAAATAGAATTAACTTACCTGTTGTTTGTGTCGATAATAACACGACCTACACATTCAGGTCGTATAGTTAAATATAGGGGTGCGGGAAGTGGTTTTAGGTTGGGAATGCTGATACAATAAAAAGTATCATAGATTCATACACTTTTGAGTGGCTGCCGACGATCTTTTTCTATGAACACAATATTACGTAACACTGCGCTTATGTTAAAAAAAACGTAATTTAACATAAACACTTTTTATATAGCCCACAAAGTGTTTATTACAAATAAAAAAAAAATGCTAAAAATGTTATTGTTGTAAATGTCACCAATCTACACTGACTGTGGAATGTGTAATGCAAAACATGTTTTTTATTAGGCTACTTGTTGTTCATTGTTTTCCAGAGTGACCGTCCAGTGACATACTGCAGTTTGAATACCGTTGTGCCCATCCTACGCCTGTGGTTTAATGTGGAGTTAGAGATCAAACAGGATTTCAGGTTAAATAGGCAGGCCATGCATGCCCTGCAGCACCTGATGCAGAGAGAGCAGGACCATGGATGGGGCACTGAATTTGAAGTCCTGATATATGTCTATTGGCTTGCCCATGGACTTTCCTACCGTGTGGTGTCACGAGTTTTCAGTGTGCCCAAATCCACTGTTCACAGAATTATTCACAAGGTGGCACAGTTCATTTGGGACAATCTACATAGAGCCATCATCTTTCCGAAGCCTGCATACCTGGACACTGTGGGTGATGGATTTGCCCAGTGTTCTGGAACGCCCGTCCTCAACAAAGCTGTAGGTGCTATTGATGGCTGTCACATAAGAATCAAGCCCCCATCAGTTCATCGCCTGGACTATTTAAATTACAAAGGGTTTTACTCCATAAACATGCAAGCCATCTGCGACTCTGCTGGAAAGTTCCTGGATATTTTTGTAGGCTATCCAGGTTCTGTACACGACACACGCATTTTGAAAAACAGTTACTTTTATCTGGCCAGAAATTATCCACCCAATGGATACTTTATCCTGGGAGATGGCGGATATCCTTGTTTGGAGACACCAATCTGCCTCATCACTCCATATAGGGAACCTGTGAATGGCCCAGTGCAAAGGAAATTTAATTACCACCAATCAAGGGCACGTTCCATTGTAGAGAGGGCCTTTGGCGTTATGAAGACTCGTTGGAGGTCCACACTTTTCAGGGCCCTGGAGGTCAGTCCTACATTTGCACCCCAGGTCATAGCATCCTGTGCTTTCCTGCACAATGTTTGCATTGACAATGGAGATGTCCTGGAACCAGACAATGATGTGACAGTGGACATCCTGGACCCAGAACCTCACCTACAAGAAGCTCCTGAGGCACATGAAACACCAGGAAATGCCACAAGGGACAGACTTGCGGCCTTGATCAGCGCACAAGACCCTCATTAGAAAATTCTGATAAAAATTGTAAATAGTTCAACTCTCTGAGTGTGTTATTTTAAATGCACATGTTCTTTTGGGCAGTTATTGTGTGGACATATGGTTCATTTTAACTTTAGTTCTATTAAACTTAATTATATTTTGAAAACATGTTGGTGATGGTTTCTTTTGTAATGATCTAGACAACGCCCAAAAAATATTGAACATTTTAATGACATCTTAACACAACACAACATAACTATTGTTGGGGCATTTTGTCCACAAGTTTTTCAAAGAGGGTTAAAAACCTCTCAGTTTGGGCCTCTGTTTCTTTGTGCCTTTCCTGCTCCTTAACAGATTCACTCTGAAGAAAATCCAGAATGAGATTATTTCCTCTCTTCCTCTTAGAGGAGCTCGGAGTAGCGGGAGTGGTGGGTGGACGAGTAGTAACTGGAGTGGTGGGACAAGTGGTGGTTGGTGTAGTGGGACGAACTGGGGTGGTGGGATGAAGAGTAGATCCAGGCTCAGAGATGTCTTCCTCGATGGGTTCGTGATCAGGTGCGACAATGGCCTGGGGGGGGGGGGGAGGTACAAGTATTGCACCAATTACAGGCTATTTTTGAAAATGTGACAGTTCCTACTTCTATCAACTTACCATTAGCAATAAAGTGGGGTCCTCTACCGGCTTGAAAGAGGCCACAATCACAGGAGGATCTATCGCTGGCCTTCCCCCCAAAGCGGCATGCATCGCCTCGAAGTATCGCCAGTTGGATACCGTTTTTTCGCCGCTTTCTGTACCTGAGCCTGTCTTTGGTGTTTTCAGGTCCTACAATAAAAAAAAACGATTAAAAAAAAAATCCAAAATCGTTCCGCCCTAGTGTAAAGGATGTAAGATGTAGGTGATGAAGACATGAATCAGATCTCTATCCAAAGAATTACCTTGTAACGTTTCTTTAGATTCTCCCACTTCTTGCCTGCCTTCTCTCCTGTAATCCTTCCTTCCAGGCCCAGGTCTTTCACTGCTTTCCTATAAACATACAAATATGAGAATAGTTGTCAAAATGCATTGTAGCTGCCTGGGGGCTAGAACATTATCAGACATTGATATTATTATCAGTTATTGAATTGTACAATCTGGTCACTTACTCCCATAACAGTTTAGAGGCAAATTTTTTTTTTGTAAACTTCTCCTCATTCTCAGTCCAGAACCTGATGAGGCCAAAGGTCTGCTCGACAGTCCCTGAAATAAGAGACCAGTTGCCGCTTAGTAAATTGCTAATTAACAGGAGATAACTAAACAGATTTTTGGTCAATACAATCTGAGGAGTGTGAATACATGCACATAACTATCCCAGTTATGATCAGGATATAAGTATCCATAATAATATGCTAGAAATCTAATCAAATGTAAAATAACACAGCATAGTTTATTATAGATAGATTAATGCTTATTAAAGCTAAAGTTATTCATTCTTAAACATCTTATTTTCTCTTTGCCTTTAGTTGTTTTATTCACTTTAAAGGTGTAATCATTAGCAGGTTTATTAGATGCTGCCACTTTAAGACCGAATGCAGATCTAATAATACACATTTTCTCCCATTTAAGACATCAACTGTGTTTAAGTGAATCTCTAAACCGGTTATTTTGCCATATATTTGTGTGTATTTGATCGTTTAGAAGCGCACACAAAACCCAAAGTATAGTTTGTTTGTCTAGTTGCAATCCGTTTCCGAGCGCGCGCGCGCCTCCATGGGAACCGGAGCAACGTCTCTTGCGCGGATCATTGTGCTGTTAGTAGCTGTTTTTACCACCAACAACGTCCCGCAATTTAGGAAAACAGCAGACGCTGCACTTTACAACAATCACCGATTGTGCTCAGTGCTGATCCTGACGTTAAGTTTGGGTTTAGAGAGAAATGACAGCGCGCTGTGAAGGGAAAGATGATGCGCTAGAAGAGCGCGGCTAACGTTAGTTTTTAATAATTTTGCCTCACATATCTTTTTATAATCCTTAGAAGCCAAAATCGAAAATAAAATTTGATTAACCACCCAGATCAGATGTATATTTGATTGGCAGACTCTTTTGAAGCACTCGACAGATATCATATGAACATCGTCAGATAGCTTCGTGAAATATTTTCTAACATTAGTGTTCAAAACTCAACAGTCCATTGGATGTGCATCAAACTAACATATTCCAACATTTTTCGAAATTTTAACATGCTTATTTGCGAAAATATACTTACAATTCAGTTGCTCCTTTCCAGCGGTGTCCGCCATCTTATTTGAAAAATTTGGCCGGCTCGCTGAGTTCGCAAGGTATCCTGGGTAATTTCATCTTCCACTTTGTTTTAAGCCTGCATCGGACCGCACTATTTTTTGAGGGTTGATTTTAAGGGGAGAATAGCACTCCCCCTTGCTCTTTAGAGTATTGGGACACCCTACACGAGAACGCGCAAAAACAAGGGTTAGGGCAGAAATCTAGGGTAAGGGGAGGTATTGGGACAGGGCCAACGTCTCAGAAAATATCACGGTTTACAGTATTAATCAATTAGCTATTAAATAAATAAACTGTATTATTAAATTATGGGTATTATTATTATTATCAACAGTTAAAATTACAGTTAAAGGGTCACTTCAGGATTTTGCATTAAGCTTTGTATCAGTAGAAAACCTGTAGTATTTTCAAATTATCGTGCTCATCACGGAGACTCACTAGTAGCCTAGACTTGTTGTTTAACTACTGCTACTCTGTTACCGGTAGGCGTGGCCTCCTAGGGCAGCGAAGCAATTGCATTCTGGGAGTTGTTGTCTTTCATCCACATAAGCCAAAAATACATTTTCTGGCTTTTCTCAGTCTAGAAAGCTCCAAATTCAAAAATAATTTCACATTTTTTCTACATAAATGACCCATTTTAAATACACATTCATCTTCCCAGAGGTGAAGTGCCCCTTTAATGAAAACAGGATTTTTTTTTGGTTGAACAAATGCTTTTATTATAACAAACTTGAAACCATTTGTTTGTTTTGTTTATTAAAATTTCAATAAAACATGTCTAATCAATTAAATTTGATAATTGATAATGAATTAGATAAACAACTTATTTTTAACATTAATCATTTATTAAAATGTTTAAGAAAAATATTGTCCTATGAAATGTATTTTATTCAGAAAATGAATGTTTCTTTTTATGATTCAATCCAACTATATTATCAAAAACGGTTGTAATCAAATGTAAATTTAAAATTGTGTCCTTTTATTTTTTGGGGAAGCGCTGCAAAAACAGATTTACTAAATTAAACCATGGACAAAAAATATATTCCTTTAAATAATGTTTAAATAAAATGTATTATTATTGTTGTTATTATTATTATTTAGAGAAGTAGGCTACGTTCTATTGTATAGTAATATATTTCTGTCCTAATTTCTCCTAGTAAAACCAAACTTTTATTTTGACGGGTTATGTGAAGACCAAAAGTGTAAAAAAAAAAAAAAAAGTGTTTCAAAGTGTATTTGAAAATGGTTTATCTCAAATAAAATTATGAAAATGCTCATTAGGCGTTCTCTCAGAGCAGCTCTGGAAATGTTCATGTATTTATATCCTCAAATTGTTTGTGAGACTCTGAATGTCACGCGTACTTGAGTATGTAGTAGACAAAGCGGCGCAGCTCAGCAGAACAAATAGGGTTATATTTACATGCAGTATTTTTGTGCTTAGCTTAACGTTAAATATTCACAGACCATGTCGCGATTGGATTTATTGCACAGTTCTACTTTCCATGTATTCATCCATCCATTATTTTGCGTGTTTTACGTGACATCTGCGTTATGTAAATTTCATTTTCATGACTGGATTCCGGGGTTCCCTCATCACGTAAATCGGGACATACCTTTATCTGCAGGATGGATGGTGTCCTATATCCTCCTTTTGCAGCCACTTTGCGTCCACATTTTTTGCAAATTGGATTTCTATCCTCGAGGACAACCACGCTTTTTTTCTACAAAGCATTTTCATACTGGCCATAATTCGCTTGGCGCTCCGGTTTCAGCTTCAGCTGTGTGTGCGTCACCTTTTTTGCGCGTTTGTTCTCCCGCCCTTCAATCAATGCAGTAGTGTTTTTTTTCCTTCTTGTATTATTATTTTTTACTCAGTAACGGATATGATTTCAAATGTAGCGAAGTACAATACTTCAAAGAAAACGTACTTAAGTAAAAGTAAAAGTACAGATTTTAAAAACTACTTAAAAAAGTAGAAGTACACACAAAAAAACTACTCAATTACGTAACGCGAGTAAATGTAATTCGTTACTTTCCACCTCTGACTGTGACTATATCAACACATGCAATATCGTTGACGAAAAAAGACGAGACTGAAATGTGTTTAAAAAAAATTAAAACTTGACCAAAACCACTTGTTTTTGTCAAATAAAGGAGACGACAACACATTGACTGTTTTTATGAGCGTTCATGCTTACGGTTGCCAGATTCCAATACTTTAAACCCCCAGTCAGAGCTTTTCTGTTAAAAGAACACGTTTTTTTCCCGGTATTTTCAATAGTATCTGGCAACAATGCGCACACCTTCTCTCTACACTGCTGAAGAAGTGTGGATGATCGGAAAACACAGACAAGTTAAGCTGGAGTTCAGTGATCTTCATTTGAGATTTTCCACTTAAAGGGTCATTCAGTCAGTCTGTGTTCTGTCACGAGACGCTTGCGCTGTTTGTGCGACTAAATCTGCGATCAAAATGCAGGCTGATATCCAGCAGTGTTTTTAATGTTGATCATATGATACGTGCAAGAATGCAATGTTTTCTGAATATCCACACGATTTCAAATGTGACATTGATTTTATACAACAGTTCAACAAACAAAAGGGTAACAATAAGTGATGTTCTACATTTGTGAACGAATCTGTGGCTTTGAACGAATCGTGATATTCAATGATCCGTTCATAAATACAGCAACTTGCTTCGTTACTGAATGAATGAATGAATGAATGAATGACTCAATGACTCACTCATAAAGAC